ACAACAATAATATACGAATGTAATAATATGAACTAATGCACCAATGAAAAGAGAATGCTAAATTACACCAGGGGTGCAACTAAAGATGTTACAAGCTGTTGTAGTTTTTATTGTTTTTAGCTCATTTTGAAAATGATTTCCAGCGCAGCTTAATCTTTCATTATTCTTGTGCAGCAGCCTCACTCTCCTCTTCCAAGCAGCTTTTTAATCACATTGATTTAAACACTGGTTATTTACTTTAAATCATTTCCACTTGTAATGCAAAATGTGTTCATGAAATTAATGGTTTTGCAGAATATCTCAGTATAAGTAAACTGAATATCAGTAGCAGTTTACACAATGATGCATCTCTAATAGAAGCCCAGTGATAAATAACATGCATGTGTTTCAAGATAGATGTTTCCTGTGTAACGAGCAGTTTTACTCTTGATGTATTGTGCTGTCAATGCTGTCATACTTTTGTTGAAGTGTTGATGTGCAGGACGTATGAGCATTTTATAGTGTTTTTTTAATCTTCATTCAAATAAACAGACATCCAGTTGATTCATAGCAAAGTGAAATGATAGATGATTATTTACACTGAGGATCAGCTGACGAGTGTATAAATGCCACAACACTGGTGAATCCAACTTGCTGCAGAGTAGAATAACTGACCAGACAAAACAGATTTGAACTTTTAATGTTTATTATTATTAAAAATAAAATCTGATCTTAGATTAAAAGACCACAATAATGAAAAGGTGACATTTACAGAGACATGGCAGCATAGTTGAATCTTCACTTGCAGTACCTGTCTGCTTTCATCTTGCTTCTCCTGTAATGAAAAAAAGATCAAATGTTAAAGTCACAGTATGCAAACAATTATTTCATCCTCACGCCCTAAATTAAGACTCTTTGATTTTATTGTATCATACTGTATCAATAAGAATTATCATAAAGCACAACGAGACCAAGCATTTTATAATAAATATATGGTGATCTTGTTTTCACACCTGTCAAGCAGACTTTCATGAAACTTCCCGTCCGTCCTGGCTTTCTTTAACGTGGAGGCGTCGTCCTCATTGACTCTGAGCCGCCGATCTTGAAAACTCTGAAACTTCTTCCTGTAATTCACACGACAACATTAATAAGACAAATACCGATGGTTAAAAACCACAACACCACAAAATGTTGCGACTCTAAGACTCTAAGCAGCTAAATCTTAATGAGCCCATGTATTAACTAAAGCAGAGTATTTAAATGTTGACAGTGGCTAAGCCTGCTAGCTGCCACACACCAACATATATACAACTGTTATCCCCAGAAACATTAAAGTCTCAGGTAGCACTGTGCTGTCACAGGCTTTAAGGACGTATGCCTCAATGAATTCCGTCTCTTTTGAATGTACCTTCAAATTAAACTTTATTAAATACCTTGCTATAAAACAACCGAGGCACCTTGTCAGAAACTTCTTGGATATTTAGTTTGCCTGTCTATGTTTTATGATTCCCCGGCTGCACTCCATCCTGAAAGGCATTTCAGACGCTTAACACTACATCAAGACGCAGGCTCAAGGGCAGCCATTATCAACATGTCAACATGACGAGTCCATTTCCCCAGCATTCATCTAAAACAAATAATAGAGCGGGAGCGCAAGCCGAAGCACGCTGAGCGAAAAATAGCAGCTTCAGATTTATTGCCTGGAACTCGATGGGCTACGGACGGGTCGTATATAAAAACACTAACAGCATCAGAAGCTAAACTGTGGTAATGTTTGCTTCCTCATTCCACTCAAACAACACTCCATCAATTGCATCTTTAACGCGCGTGATTGAAGAGGAAGTAGCTGAGATGCGTGATCTCACCAGGGATGACTTCTTGTTGGCCAATTCTGGTCAGTCATAAAACAATGTGTGGATGATGGAAGGGAAATAACATATTCTTGTCTTCAGAATGAAGTCATTTAGCATTTATTCTCGAGGATCCTACGAGGTAAACTACTTCAACGGTGTAATGTCAAACCATCCAGATATTGAATTTGATTGCTTTGATTTTTTTTTATTCTAATCAACAACTCAAAACCTGAGAGACATAATATGTGCTACAATATCAC